CATTAAATTCGTTTGAGTGATTTGTTTGATTTTTTTTTTTTTTTTTTTTTTTTTTTTTGTCGGAGAAATTGTTTCGTTTTTGTGTTGTTGGTGCAGTATTACGTAGATATAAAGGGTATCATCCCTACGGATTTACCTATTCTTTCTGTTATACATGCTGCAATTGGCCTGCATTTCAATGAGAAACGATATTTATCTTGAATCACTATTATTGTATGTGCTATATAATTCATTTTATTGATTTTATTTGTTTGAGTCGTAAGTCAAACAATTTTGCATCCTTTAAACAATATAAATTGTGGACATGGCGAAAATACGAATGTTTGAACCACCAGAGATACAATCAGGTGTAAGAGAGGGTTAGTACCCCCTATCTAGCGGTTCCATCCACCTCTGTTTTGATTAGGTAAATGTATAAATAAGAAGTCAAAACTTCAGAATGTCGACTTTAAATAACAGTGTTTAAAGAATTTCACATTGACTAATTTGTCAGCAGCCAGCTGCCTTGTGAAAATGATCCTACTTAAAGCATGTTCTTGCAGACCGAATCAGCTGGGAAAAATTCACTGTAAACACCATATGTAGTTGACATTGGAATGTATAATATCTCAATTTAATCACTAAGTTTTAATATTGATTTTATGCAATCACGTGACGGTGTGATCCGACTTTCCGGATCATCACACTGTGGTTTTCTGAATCCATATCACCCCTCTCTGGAACTGATTATGAAGAACACAGATAAATGACGTTCTTTTCTTTTTTCGCGGATCATCAGATCAAAATTCTCGAATGGAACGTAAAAAAACATACATACAATCAATCAATAATTGTGCTAAATCGTTTATTTTTATTGGATAAAATATATTACAAAATTATCAATATTCTCATGGTACCCTCTAACCCTGCAAAATCATCGTATAACAGTGAAGGCTACAGAGAGGAGGCGGGTTTTATTTATACGGGAAATGTTTGCCCTAAGATCACACAAAAATTCCAGGTCTTTAAATTACCACAAAATGGTTTGATTTGCTAATTTAAACTGTTGGTAAGCTCTAGACTACATAAAACTTACTAGTACATGTAGTTATGCAATCGTCAGTTCGACGTCATATGGTAAAATTTGACGCAGTTTGTACGCACTGAGCGGCTGATTAACTTACATTTTATACAGAGAAAACTTATTCTGTGATCAAATGAAATATTATTTGTAGAGATATAAGAGGTCATTAACGTGGATGCAATATTAATTAACGATTTTATTCATATATTTTCCGTACATTCCCTAGGCAAGTGATGTTTTTCAACAGAAAATTACTTAAAATTATTAAATAAATTAAGTAATATTCTGTCAAATGTGAAAGGATATCAAAGTGATATTTTTTCACTGTGTGACAGAATATCAGAAGTGTGGTAAAACGTCCCATAACGTAGAGTGTGGTAAAAAAATACACTTTCGTCTATTAAAAAAAAGAGAGAGTAAATAAACCATTCTGACAAAGACTAAATCTGCCAAGTTTTTTTTCCAAATTGTTGTTGAATTCCATGTTTATGAATGTTTTCAAAAACACGTCGCTTAATTAGCTATGACGTCTCAACCGCTCAAATATGACATCATGTTATCTATGACACTGTGTTCCAAAAAGACAGAGGCAAAGGGAAAGTCAAAAAAACGAACAGAAAATTCAATATTTTGTAGTTGGATATGGAATCTATTTCACTTGTGAAACAGGATTTGTAGCTCTACTGGTCAGAGATCTGGCCCCGGGATCATGAAACAGACTTGGACTTAAGTCAAATTTTCAATCGAATATAGAATGTTTATTTATGATTAAATTAATCTCATTCTTTGCAAATATCTACATTTTTGTAAATCTTTATTGACACATATTTTAATTTTGGTCTGCTTAACTTCTATAACATTTAAGAATAATATTTAAAAAAATTGATTTAAGCTTCAGATGTTTCATGATCCCATAGCCAGACGAGCTTATGCGATAGTAAGGTGTCCGTCGTCCATCTGTCTGTCTGTCTGTCTGTAAACAATTTTTCAAAAAGCTACTCCTCCTACAGTTTGGTCTGATTTCAATATAACTTGGAACACAATTAGACTACACTAAGATACATATTTTAGTGCAACGGTTTTTCATTTTGATGAAAGGTGTTGCCATGGTTACTAAAAATAGAAATTTCTGTGAATTTATTTAAAAGGCTACACCACCTACAGTTTTGGTTTGATTTTAATATAATTCGGCATACAAGTAGACTTCACGAAGGTACATACTTTATTTTATTGATTTTTGATTTTGATGAACTGTGTTCCAATAGTTACGAAAAATAGAAATTTCTGTAAAATTGCCTTAAAATCCTACGTCTGCTACAGATTTGGTATGATTTCATATAACTTGGCACAATATTAGACTACATTAAGATACATACTTTAGTGCATCGGTTTTTGATTTTGATGAACGATCCTGCCGTGGTTACTAAAAATAGAAAATTCTGCGAAATTACTTTAAAACGCTACTCCTCCTTCAGTTTTGATCTGATTTCAATATAATTCGGCATACAAGTAGACTACACTAAGATACATTATATAGTACATTGGATTATAATTTTGATGAACCGTCTTGCCATGGTTACATAAAATTGAACTTTCCGTGAAAATTATTTTTAAACGCTACTCCTCCAACAGTTTTGAACTGATTTCAGTAAAATTTGACATACAAGTAGACTACAATAAAACACATAATTTAATGTTTTTGATTTTGATGAACGGTGTTTCAATGTTTACTATAAATAGAATTTTTTGTGAAATAACTTTACAACGGTACTCCTGCTACAGTTTTTTTTTTCTGATTTCAATATAATTTGGCTTTCAAGTAGACTACACTAAGATTCATAATTTAATTTTTCGTTTTTTTTATTTTGGTGAACAGTGTGGCCATGGTTACTTAAAATAGAAATTTATGTGAAATACTTTCAAAACGCTACTCCTCCTACAGTTTTGATTTGATTTCAATATAAATTAGCACACAAGTAAACTACATTAAGATACATATTTCTACTTATTGCTGTTGCAAAGTTTCAAATCCAAGTACTACTTTTCTTTTTTTCATACTACAAACCAGTAGAGCTATAGTCTCATCAGAGTCTTCCGGTTTGATAATTTCTCTCCTGCCTCGCACTCCTGAAAACATCAATTAATCCTGTCCAACTCGTGAAATAAATTCCGTATCGAACTACAAAACATTGAATATCCTCTATATATCTGTGTACAAATTCACTGGAGAGTAATTGAAGGGTCCTAATAAATTGATATATATATTGCAAGGGCATACACTCAATATACACATGAACTCAAGAAGCATTAAGATATTTGAAAAGAGCTGCAAACCTGATGATATCTTGAAAATGAATTAGTTATATTTATATTTAATGTAGTTGACTAGTAGAAAATTTAACATGCGGTGTAACATATATAATTTTAGCAATTAGACATTAGAACCTACAAAGGTTCGTAACACTTTTCACAAACTATAAAGTTGTGAAAAGAATTATAAATATATTTAGATTTTTAACTTGGTTATCCCTTGGCAATATTGAAATTCATCGATGACCTCAATACTGTAAACATATTTGCTATAATCCAGTGACTCCAATATCACGAGGCAATTCTAAATAAAAAATCTAATCTTCCTCAACATGAAGATTTTTTATTTTCCCATATAAGTAAAGTCCAAAAAGAATCACCCATCCTTGTAAATAATGTATTTTTTATCTGAAAAATTCCCTGATATTTCCATTTGGCACCTTAACTGTTCTGTGATTTGAAAATATATCATACATTCGCAAAAGATACCTTTATTACAATTAAGCTATCGCTGACTTCATTTGTCCTAGATCGGCGTACGCACTTAAATTTCCTAACGTAACTAATTCATTGTAATTTTTTTGACAATGGCCTATTGATTTTTTTTTTTAATTTCATAAGCACTGATCTGGTAAATGCTTTTAAAAAGGGACTTAAGTATAACTTATCTATTTATCTTTTGTGACATGAACTAATTATATATATAGTTTAAGAATATATTTTTCCAAAAAAAATTTACAATTTTCTGTTCACATCACCAGCTTTGTCACGAGTTTCTCTGAGAGTTTCTTGATACTTTTATGTTTCAAAATACTTTATTATAAAAAATTTTCAAGATTTTTTTGAAGGTCAATATCCTTTTTTTCTTTAAAAACATTCTTTTTTTTATATCAAGTTCTTTTAAAATTATATTTTTTTTTTGTTTATAACAAGAAATATTAAGATTGACAAAACTTAGTTGAATTTGGAAGTTTAATAACTTGTTATATCTGATCTACTCGTCATATCTCTAAAACGGTGAATTACTCATTGGTCGTTTCAAACCGGCGAGGCAAATCTTCCTCCGATTCAATGAAGCAACAAGCAGGATTATCAAAGGTTTAAAGCCGTCACGGTAGCTCAGTCGGTAGAGTGCTCGCTCCGTGATCGGAAGGTCGTGTGTTCGAACCACGGCCGCGACTGACCTAAGTCGATAAAAAATAGGTAGCAACTGTTCCTTCACCAAGCGCTCGGCACTTTGAAGTGAAAGTTGCGTGTCCTTCGGATGAGACCTTAAAAACCAAGGCCCCGTGTCACGGCAGGCGTTGGCACGATAAAGATTCCTCACTGCTCAATGGCCCTGAGTGCCGAGTAAAGGTCTAAATTTGAAGCCCTTTACCGGTATATGGTGACGTCTCTATATGAGTGAAAAATTCTCGAACGTGACGTAAAACAACATACAATCAACAATCAAAGGTTTAATAAATAAAGTCCTCTTTATGAGACAACCAATAAGATGTTACAATGAATATATATAGAACCCATATTATTCAATTATTAGTTTATCATTCACACAAACAATTATGAAAGTACTTTATAAAGGTAATTGAATACAACATAAACAATATAAATGTGCAAATCAGCGTTTCGATAATTTGATGTCCAAAACTAAAAACTGCTCTCACATTTCATCATTTTGGGTGTTTCACACGCACTTTTGAGATCAGTACTTTTAGTGATTCCCGTCTTTTCCTTAAATGTTTTTTTGAACATAAGAATTGTCCTCTTATTGCAAACAAAACCCAGGAATATGAAGACGCCCTGTGATGTGTTCATAACGGAAATAATGTACGTGAAATAACTTTGCGGTAAAAGACCGTCTAAAATCTGCAAAAGCCAAATGACCCCTGTGACAGGAAATAAGCGTACACATATTAGAAAATCGTTCCTTTCGGGTTTATTGCTAGAAACTGTTGGAGAAAGTTTGATTGCACGTATTGTCTGTGAGAAGAAAAAGACATTACCGATGCAGAGAAATCCAACCGGGACTAGAAAAGTGAAAATTAAGGACATTTTTCCATCTATGAAACAATCTTGCTTTCCATAACCAACATTCCCCCAGACTGAAAACATGGTAATCAAATACCCAAAAACAGTCAAAAATGGCAAGAGAAAGATATAAATACAATACTTGATAAACAGGAACTTTTCATTGTTTACTTGCAGAGGTATTCTTGCGTGAAAAACCCGATACATATGAAAACAACAGATGTTCATACTTGTAAAAGACGAAAGCCAGAAATAATGAAGAAGAATACCAACAGCAACACATTTTTTGCTGTTTTTGTTTTCCCCATAACTTGTCAGAGATACAATATTTATGGTAAAGATAGTAAAAACAAGAACCATTATTGTTTTCCCTGCAAGGGATCTTAGTTCCCCGAAGAAGCAGTATGTGAGAAAAGTCATCAACAGACATACACACGATAATATAGAAAATGTAACAGTGAGTATAAGTAGAATTCTTCTAAAATTGTTCCCCCTATTGATACTAGACATTAAGACATCAACACACACTCTGATAGTCCCATTCTTTGATATATCAGCATTTGCAGCAGGTAGAGAAATATCGTAGCTCTTCAAAAACACCACGTTTTGAATGCTATCAAATTCATACTCCTCTAATTTGAATTCCACTTGTTTGCATATCAATACATTAGTGATATGTACTGCACGATATCGTAATATATGATCCCAGGAGGAACCATAAGTTGTATGTGAACATCGATCTTTTTCTTGTTCTAGTTCTGTTCTGTTGTTGTTATTCTTCGCTAAAGAAAAATATTTTTTCTTGAAATCAAACAAAATAAATGTATCATTGCAGATGTATTCCAAGTTAGTTTCAGTAAATTGTATTAGCAATCTTTCCGTTTTCAATCGATGAACAGATTCATTGATGAATATTGTAGAGTGAATCCATCCATGGAATTTTCCGTAGTCCTTCTGAACATATTCTATACGGAAAATGTTAAAAAAAAGATTTTGTGTTAGCTTTACAATTTTCTTAATTTTGAATGGTATCAAATCTGTGACTAGATCTTGAATATTTTCCTCTGATATCTTGTACTTAGAAAATCCCTTGAAAGTTATATCCAAATTATATCGAAGATTTTTGGTAATTGAAAAAAGTGGGATGCAGCTTTCTCCACGAATTAAATACTTTCCGGGAAAGCATGTTATATTCCTACAGATTCCCTGAAAAAAAAAAATTAAGGTGTTTTAAGTTCAATTATTCATATCATTATGACATTGGGTATTTTTTCCACTAAGAAGTATTTTTAAAAAATGATTTATTTAAGTTGCTTATCAAGTCGCTATCCATCCTAAATATTTTGCATATAATATATATTCTAAATCTTCATAGAAGAATTCGATGATGAAATAACTTACAAGGAATGGGTCGTAAATTTGGTCATTTGAGCACATCCAACCAAGCAGCGAATCAAAATCCATCTCGTCATAATTCCCACTGACGGAAAACAAACTGCGTAGCAAAGGATACCAAACAATGGAATTTGATACCAAATTCTCTTCTCCCTCTTCATTTCCAACAACTGACCCGCAATCCATTGACATGTCGATAGTATTGCATATTGCACAATACAAATTCTTGTAAGGGGCATAGAAGTACACCTTTGGAAAAAAATCGCATTTATCCCCAATTATATAATTATATATTATATTATATGTGTCTGGACACTTGTCAATTGTTATCTCCACACCTCTATATGGGTTGCACATAGCACAATAAATGTTTTTATATGTACCCCCTCCGAACTCATTATACGCATTCCATTGTTGATTTTGTGTATATGGAAGATCTTCGCATGCCCACCTTACATCTAAGTCTATCATTGGCCAGTGTCCCGTTTTGTTGCATTTCTCTACAATATAGGTCGTGAGTTTGTCACATTTTCGACTGTCTGTTGGCGGATAAAGCGTCATATTGCAATCAGCTTCTCGTAAAGATTTTATAAAACTACTATAATGCAAGAAGTTTGTGTGTTCGATATATGAAAAACAATGTGACTTCATCGTCCAGGGTTTGTAGATTTTTTCTCTTCGAGCAACACTACACAGTAAACAGTACATATTTAAATATGGAATGCCTGTCGATAAGTCCGTGACTGGCTGAATAGAAAATACATCTCCCGGTGGTTTCCTACACCTTTGACCTATAAATTCTGGATAATGATCTAGACCATAACACCCATTTGTCACTAAACTTTCGTTAATTGTTCTGTTTGGATCCGATTTCGAAAATATTCTTTCTTTTAAGCAAGTTGTAGGATACATCAGAAACAGATCTTGACAGCAATACTTGCTTCCAATGAGGAAAATGCAAGATGCATCACATGAACAGTTAGAGCCAAATTTGAACTTTGTTGGAATTTTGTATTCCCCACACGTTCCCGATACAAAGTCCATTGAATACGACTTATGCACAAGATTTGTTAAATCACTGTTATTGTGTTTCATCAAAACTAGATCACGTGATTGATTTATCATTTTTATTTCTCCGAACTGTTCAAAAACTTTTTGTTTAATTAAAAGAAAATATTCCTCTGAAAATTCCCGCACATCGACATAAAAGTAAAATATAGGTACAGAGGATTCATTACGAAATAAAAGCTCGGTACTTATGTCCAAGCTAACATCGAAAAATGGAAAGTTTGATGAATTTGGTCGGTTACACAAATAGCAAAATAAATTCTTATATGGCAAAGTCCCAGAGTTGTCTCGATAATATAAGCATGCGTTATTCGCTGTACGGTTAAACGTATCCCACATTCCACTCACGTTGCACCGAGATATTGTATTGACAGCAGTGAATGTTGGATTACACATTTTACAAAACATATTTTTGAACAATGTATCATTATTAAAATAATCCGCATCACATCCGTATTCAACAATCTGGATGTAATGTTTCCACGTCCCTGTTTTATTACAAGAATTAAAATAATGCTCGTTTTCTTTGTAACAGTTGTAAGAGATATTTTCATTTGGAGGATATGACTGTAGCACACATTTTCGCGCCATGGCATTTTTGATGACTTCATCAAAGGTTGACATAAAATTGATGTCCAGAAATTGATCACAGACTATATCAATAGGCCAGGTAAAAAAATTGAAATCATCGTTGCAAATCGCACAAAACCGGTTGTAATACGTTCGAGTAGTATGGTAACTTGTAACTGGTGGGTATTTCAGTTTATCGACGTCATTCGTGACATTTTCGCATCTTTTGAGAACATTAATCTCTGTGTTGTGTGGACAAGAGTCAATCATTAAATATGATGTCCGTTGTTTTCTTTCAAAGTAGTTCGATGAGGCATTAACGATCGTGACATTCTTACAGGTCGGCACTGGAGGAGAGAAGAACATATCGGGACAACAATCACCTCTAATGAAACACTCCTGATCGCAAAAACATGGCGGACAACGTGGGTATAGTGCTGAATCCTTGACCTCCCACGGAAACAGTGTTTTATTTAGGTAACAAAAATGTCCAGTTCCACACAGTGTCAAAATTTGTTCAAGTAACTTCGGGACTTCTATATCCTCCGTGCTCATGAATGGTCGAAACACTACATATAGAAATAAAATGTAGAAGGTAACCCCCTGCATTATTGGTAGATTGTTTTATGTAGGAAATTTCTTTTTCATTTATAACGCATCTACTGGTATAGAGATTATTATGGATATAATTCACGACAATATAATAATTGTGAGTATCTCATCAAGTATTTATGAACAATTCTCTTCCAATCAATAAGTTTATGAATACTATAATGGTCTCTTGTTTAGTATTAATGGACACGTCCCTTCAAACCATCATGTAAACACACTTACATTAAATAATGCACTTCTAAGCTACATGTACTAACAACTAGTGCTGTATAATTTTCGTGATGAAAGCTTGGCATTGAAGAATAAAACTAGTGTATATTGTTGTATTAAAATAAATCAATGACGCTTAATAAAGGATGATGTGCTAAACGGATCCTCGGTAGACTGACAAAAAAATAATCATTTATATACCTATTTTTGTGTATACTTAATCTTTGACATATGTACCTTTACGGAATATAACTTTTACGGAAATCAGATGATTATGTGTAGGATATATTACTTAATATCAGATGGGGTACATTGTTTACATTTAATTCCCATTCATTTTTAACCCCTCCCCACTTTATAAACCTGTTAATATACATGAGCGCAATTAGATACATTTTTTTCCCTCGGCTTGTAAATGTATTTCATCAAAATCTACCTATGTGTAAAAGGAAAACATTATATATCAATGCACTCAATTAATCTGATTTAAAGCGTTCGAAAACCCAAATGGCCTTCCTGATTGTAAACCTGGCGTGAACTCGACTGACCCTTTGTAACCTTCCCTGTCCAGATGAATACGCTTAACTTATTTAGTACGTGTACCACTTGGTATACATTCTTAAAACATATTGTCGCACTAATTGTCAGCTCAAATCATCGCAATATTGGCATCGTTTATATAACTATATAATAAATTTATATCTTTCATTGTTGATTTCAAATTAACTACTTGAAACTTCATACCTGTATTGTGATAATTTATTGATTGCTAAGGTGTTCAACTACCTTGAATACATCTGTACTTTGATTCTCGACTGGTAAACATTGTCATGTGATACGAAAACTTATCCTGTCTGGACATGCATATCCTTCTATTATACAAAGACCAACCCATATTTTTCATCTTTATTTTTAAAACAACAACTGCTCACAAACTAAGACGAATTTTGCTGTTACAGGTTCTTAAGAAGGATAATGCTGTATTTCTCAATATTTTGAAGTATCCGAACTATTGAAAACTGTTGACATGGTATAATTTTATTCAATCTTGTTTAAAAACTACGTCGTATAAAAGGGGCCGCTAACAGTATTTTTGGCATTTCATCCATTTATACATTTATTTTTCATTGTAAAATTGCATGGGTAAGAAAAGGACAATTCCAAGTTTTCTTTATTTAGTGTCCGTCAACAGATTGGTTTTGAGGTAACAGAAATTTAAATCATTTAAAATAACACACACCAAAAAGTCAACCCATAAAAAACATATGCATTAGATCGGTATTTAGACACTTTTTTCTATCCGAATTCACTAGTAGTTTTTATTTTTATTTCTAATTATGTTACACAATTGAAGAAGATCCTCACGTGATGATGATGAATAATTTCGTTACTATTCTAATAATGTTGTTTTTTTCCCCCTATGGTTTATGTTTTTTCCGGATAGAAAGATAGCTTTTTGATTCTAAAGTGGACGGTTAAAATAGGGAAAAAATGGAATAGCAATAATATAATATATAAATTAGACTCTTGTTGCCATGGCAACAAAAAGGTCTTTCGTTTTTCTATACTAATCTGTAAGAATTCGCTTTTTTTCTGTGTAAAAATATACATATAATATTTACTTTGAAAGAAAAAAAAAAATTGTAAAATACCCTTTCACTACTTAAGGTACTTTGATTTTAATGACAAATCTCTTGTATAATGCATTTGGCACCTTATCATAAAAAATATTCAAACAAATCTGTATGGAAAGTTGCGTTTTTTTCAGTAACTTTTGGAACACCATATTCGATACATGTATATATTCTGGCTTTTGGCAACGTCTTACACATAGGATTAAAACTAAAGTGAGTAGCAATTAAAAAAAAAAATGCTTTGTGCAAACATTTAAACAGACAAGCAAACAGACGAACGAACACCGTACCATTACAAACCTCACTTTGTGTGTAGAGTTTGATGACTAGAGAGCATGATGCTTTAATATATCAAACATTTAAATTATTTAAAAAATGAGTACATTGAAGGATATTTGTTCTATTTGTAGTGTACATTTATGTTCTAGCATAATTGTGATGGTATAATAAAAAATATACGGGCTGCATCAAGAATTATATATTCCACCTTAAGTTCGCTAGGTTTAAAAAATATTTATAGTAATTATAATACACAATCAAACTAGTGAATATATATAGCTGAGCTGTAAACGGGTCAGCTTTCCTATCTCAGTTCTCTCCCAAGCTATTATAATTGCTGTTTGATAAGAGCTGAGCACCCCCTCCCCCTTTTCTGAATTCGACGAGGATTTGCTTTTTTGCATGAAATATATGGAGATAACGAACAGTATTCAAGCTCAAAAGTCCATTAATCAATACAAAATAGGAGCAGAGCAAACACGGACCTCCAAACATCAGAGGTGGGATCAGGTGCCATGGAGGAGTGAGCATCCCCTGCCGACCGGTCACACCCGCCGTGTGCTCCTTGTCATATAATGATTTAGTAAACATTGAACGTAAAGTCACTGAGTTTTGTAAAACAATATCATGATTTGACAGCATACCAACAAACACGTAACTTTAAGAAAGATTATTCAATTATTATTTAGCAAATCGAAGTTCAAAATACAGAGATATGATTTTCTATACATTTGTAATGGGTAGTAATAATTCAAGACTGAAAAGGGAAATTTGAATAATGAATTATAAGGAAGGGGGCATCAAGATGATCAGTGTAAGAGAGTTCATTATATCCTTAAAACTAGTATGGATGAAAAAATTGTTACTACAGGACAATGGGTTGGATTCTTTTTTAGATGTTGATATTAAAAAAGTCCTATATTGTGGGCAATAGTATGTTGTCAAAAAATGAATTATTTAAAAAGTATATTTTGGAGGGATGTGTTGCAAGCATGCTTAAGCTATTGTGACAAATCCTTACAATATGAACCACTTCTTTCTTTAGAACCGTTATTTCTAAACAAAAATTTAATTATTAATAAAAAGCCATTTTTCTATAGAAGATGCTTTTCATGTAATATTTCATGTATTAGTGACATACTTAATGAAGATGGGTCATTTATGAGTTTAAATGACCTGCATGCGAAACATGGGATAAAAACACATTTTCTTGAATATAATGGCTTTAAAGCAGCAATATTAGAATGGCTGAGAAAGATAAACAGAGATCCTAATAATTTTTCAAAGGTATCTTATCCATATATTCCAGAGAATGTTATTTCTCTGCTGAATGCCATGATGAGTCGCGATATTTATGAAATATTAGTCAGACAAATAATTGAACCTTTGGGTAAAACCTCTTGGAATAGAGACTTTGACTTGAGCAATGGTGAATGCATGGGAGAGAATTTTTTTACTTCCATTCAAAATTAAAAAAAAAAACATAAAACTTCAGAGGTTCCAATTTAGAATAAATCATAAAATACTAGCAACAAATTCCTTCCTGCATAAAATTAATAAAATTAAAAAAATTGAGAGTAATATGTGTGCTCTTTGTAAAACAAAAAATGAAACAATTGAACACTTGTTGTGGGAATGTGAACATGTTCAGACTCTTTTAAAGAATTTTGCAAAGTTACTGTACAGTTTTGATAGAATCCACTCTACTATAACTTTCTCAAAAAAGGAATTTATACTAGGCTCTGTGAAGAAAACTGACAAGCTTGAAAATATTATTGCTCATCAAATCAAATAATACATTTATCTGTACAAATGTACAAACAGAAACATTTCCTTAGGTGGGTTGATATCCTCTATTAAGACAATGTATGAATTATAAAAATTTATATCTTATAATAAAAATGAAAGAGAATCTTTTGATGAAAGCTGGAGACCTTTGAAAGACTTATTTCCATAACCGTCTCTCTCTCTCTCTCTCTCTCTCTCTCTCTCTCTCTCTCTCTCTCTCATTTTTTTTTTTTTTTTTTTTGTAAAAACCATTGAAAATACAATAAATTATAAAAAAAAAATACCATGAGAGAGAAGAGTATATAATTATACATATGTATAGTATACGATATATACATATCTTAATTCGTGTCATTAAATATCTTGGATAATACTTTGTACATATTTGTTTCTTCATGTACACACCTGTACATGTATGAAGATTCTTTTTCTTTGATATACCTCTACCATAAAAAAAGAAAGATATTCAAACCACTGTCCATGCGCCCCCCTAGAGTCTGAAATCATTTTTTATTACGGAGATCAGTGTGTGGAGTGTGTTTTCTGTGCATTGTTGATATTTGTGGGTTACCTAGGACCAGCTCTTTGACACAAACTTAGACATCTGAAACTCAATTTGAGCGACGGACAAGCAGGCCAAATCATATGCATGTAAAACATCATACAGCTGTAATAAGAAATTGATAAACTTGAATTTTAACAAGCTACATGTACATGTATCTATGAGCTTGGCATTGAAATACATGTATACTTGTGATGAATTTGTCTCATAATGAAACATTCAATTGTTATACAGTGTAGATAAAAAATAAAATTGTACATGAGATTTATTTGGCCCAAAAGATGTATATTTATATACATTGAAGAAGCAATTACACTGAAAAAATACTGTAAACTTGGTCAAGCATTCCTGTTCCTCATTTAGACCCTGAAAAACATTCAAGATCAAATGTCAAGGTCAAAAACAAGATTTACTTTAATATGGGTTATAAATACTGTAACTACTGGGAATTCATATGCATGTTAAGATCGAAGGAATATGTGTGTGTTCACTGCAATAATTATTGCTGTCAATCTTTCATGACTATGAAGATTTATG